TTGCTGGTCCTGAGAAATGATAGGAAGATGGTGAATAGGGCAAGATGTTAAGTTGTGTCTGGGTGCTAGGAGTTGTGTTGAGAGCTGTGTTAGCCACGCTGGTTAGGGGAGGTGGTGAAGCGGTGAGGTCTGTAAGGTGGTGACACGTAAGTTGAGAACTGAATGATCTGAATGATGCAAAGGAGAAACGGACACACGAGTTGGGAGAGGAGAGCGGAGCTCTGGGGGCAGGAGATGGACTAAGAAATAAGACATGGTTCCCCCTGGATATAGCCCATTTCTTCTTTTCCCTCTTGGAATTCTGCTGTGCCCTAAACACCTCAAGAATGCTTAAGTGGAGTAGCTATCCCTAATCACTGTCAGCATCCCCACTGTGGTTGCTTGAAGGAAGAGCTTTCCAAATACAAGGACCAGGAAGTATAAATGGCCCAAGACAGGGGGATTTTGTGGTGTTTGAGAAACAGAAAGGCCAGTGGGGCTGGAATAGTGTGAATGAGGAAGGTATTGTGGAGAAGTATCTCAGAGAGGTAGGAAGAGCCAGACCATGCAGAGTCTTCTAAGGACATGTTAATAGATTAAAAATTTTATTCTAATTTATCCCTCCCCCACCCCCGTTCCCTTTGGTAACCGTTAACTTTGTTCTCAAAGTCTGTGAGTCTGTTTCTGTTTTGTAAATAAGTTCATTTGTGTCATATTTTAGATTCCACATATAAGTGATATCATATGGTATTTCTTTCTCTTTCTGATTTACTTCATTTAGTATGATAATTTCTAGGTCCATCTATGCTGTTGCAAATGGTATTATTTCATTTTTTTATGTCTGAGTAATATTTATATATATATACATATACACACACACACACACACACACACACACACCACATCTTCTTTATCCATTCACCAGTTGATGGACATTTAGGTTGCTTCCATGTCTTGGCTATTGTGAATAGTGCTGCTATGAATATTAGAGATTTCTCCAGACATATGCCCAGGAGTGGGATTGCAGGGTAATATGGTAGCTCTATTTTTAGTTTTTCGAGGAACCTCCATACTGTTCTCCATAGTGGCTGTATCAATTTACATTCCCACCAGCAGTGTGGGAGGCTTCCCTTTTCTCCACACCCTCTCCAGCATTTGTTATCTGTAAACTTTTTAATGATGGCCATTCTGACTGGTGTGAGGTGATATCTCATTGTAGTTTTGATTTGCATTTCTCTAAGAATTAGTGATGTTGAGCATCACTTCACGTGCCTGTTGGCCGTCTGTATGTCTTCTTTGGAGAAATGTCTATTTAGGTCTTCTGCCTATTTTTTGATTGGACTGACAAGGGCGTCATTTCCAACATATACAAATAGCTCATCCAACTCAATAACAACAACAGAAAAACCAATAAGCTGTGTGTTTCTTTCCCACCTCATCTCTAGGACATTTCTTCGTCAGTGATTTCCTGATCGTGAATCTCAGCATTGTTACTCATGGTCTCTGAGAGCCCAAAGCAGCATGTACTGAGGCTCTGAACCAGGTAGACGCAAAGGAAGGTAAAGAACAAGGACCCTTCTAGAGATCAAGTCTGCAGGTCTCAGGGATGAGCTTACAAATGAAGGGGAAGCAAGGAGCTGTAATGTTTCTCATTGCAGGAGCAAAGGAAATGAAAGAAGCTGTGGAAGATACCTGCTTGTGAGAGAGGGAAAGAATAGGCCTTCTGTTTCAGAGATCCTTGGCGTACCCCTCCCTGTGGAAAGATGCTCCACCCAAACTTTGGAGAGGCCTCAAGCTGAAGTTGGTGACCTGCCTGAGTCCCAGGGGAACCATAGGCCTCTGAGTGGGTCCCAGGTATATTTGAAGCGCTCCTATAGGTATATGATTATTTCAGGCACAGCTATTCATATGAGAATCCCTCCTCGCAACCTGCACCCCACCCTTGACCTTACCCCCCAGACTGAGAAGGACACTTGGTTGTGAGGCAATGCAGTGTTTAATCGTGGGGATAATAGAAACATCACAAAATACAGTAACAAGATGGCCCAGGGTGATAGAAGCAAACTTTCCCTGGAGTCCGGTTCATGCTTGTAGGGCCTTTTTGACAGCTTCGTCTCCTTCTCAATCCATGACAGATAACTAGACACCTTCGTGTATACTCCAGGTAGTTTCTTCCGGCCGCAGCCCACTCCCCAGCTGACAATGCCCAGCTGGTACCATTTGCTTGTGTTGGTTTTTTTCTGGCAAACCAGAGGCCCCCCCACTGTCACCCTAGGAGAGAAGAGTTGTTTGGGAGTGGAAGGGATGGTGGCAAGTTGCTCTTCCAGCCTGTTGAGGGGTGGGCGCCTGGCGCGAGGCACAAAGCACTTCTGGTGTCATTGGAGGATGGGTGGATGTTTCTACCTTTGATGGGCTCTCCAACAACATGCCTATACTCCCAGCTCTGTGACTGTCAGAAAAGGGAGCGAACAGTTTGGTCAAAAGCAATGGTGATGAATGACAATTTGGTCAAAAAATAAGTATCCATCGTCTCTATCATCATCATCATCCCGTGACATGCATTCATTCTGATATACCAAGGAGTGCTTTTCTAATCCGTTCTGCCTCTAAGCACTTTTTTGTTTGTTCAGAATTCTTTCAATTTCCCCAGAAAGACCTCATTTTGCTCTTTCTGTGCTGTTTACGATAGCAAAAAGTAAAAACTGAAACCCAGAATCCATTATGCTTTATACTAGGTCATTGGTTGAAGACAGCAGGCGTACAGACTGTGTATACAGAACACAAAAAGTACAAAAACTGGGTCAAAATGTTAGACTGTGGTTCAAAACATCAATTTTTAAGCAATTTACAAATTTTAAAGCATCATGGAAGAGATTGCCAAATAAGCACAGGTGGAGCAGACGTCATTGACATGAAAATGAAGGAATCCACTGCCTTTCATACCCCCAAACCTTTCGGACCATTTAAAATTTTCTATTAAAGAATAACGTATCTTCAAAAAAAAAAGAAAAATGTATCTTCATCAAAAAATCAGAAAACTGGGGTATGGGAAAAGAACATGAAGAATACCCATAGTTATATAAGTAAATATATATATAAGCACACACACACGATTGTGTATAAGAAGAATTTTCAGGTAAGATACAGTTAACATTGCTTCTCTAGGGAGTGAACAGGAGAACAATTATAAGAGGTAAACTTCCTCTTCACTGTACACCCCTCTGTACCCCTGGAATTTTCTTTACTGTGTACTGGTGAAATAAACCACATTTCTAATTTCAACCATGCAGAGGCACCTCTTTAGCCAAATGTAACTTTCCACATCCTCATGTATGCAAATACGTCATTATTATTTTACAGAAATAGAATCAGGCGGTACATAGTGTCTCACAGCTTACAAAGATCTATTTTTGAAAATATTAAGTAACACATAGAAGAGTCAGAAAGAAGCACTATTTAATGATACGCCAAAAATACAAAACAAACAACAGTGCCCCCCAAATAGGGTGTGGGTTTATTTGGTTTTTTTAAACCAGATTGTTATCATGAGCAAATTGCTGTGCCCATCAGCTTCCTTTGAACCAAACTGTTCTTCATCCAGTTCTTTGAAGTCATTGGAAATTCCCATGACCTTTCTTTAAAATGAAGAATGACACTCGCTTCTCTAGGGATGATGAGATCTACGTGAAAGACGTACAGTTAAGAATTTAAATTTCTGGAGCCAAACAGACCTTGGTTCAGATCCCAGGGTGAATACGTGGTTGAGAGAATGTGAAATTTTTCTTCAGCGTTTTGAGGCTCATTTTTAGGCTGGTGGTGATTGTACCTCTCCCGCAGGACCACGGTGTGAAGGTAAGCACATGACACCTATAAAACACTATGCCTGGCCCTAATACATGGCAAGCCTGTACTCCCTGGCGGCTCCCACCATTTTTGCGGTGGATGAACCAGGCACATCTGGGCGGGGCCGTGCTGGGCTGCTGGCTTTGGAGCCCGGTTTCTACTGGAACCCAAAAGATGGCTCTCACCCCTGAAGTCAGCGTGCCTTGGTTGGAACTCGGTGTCTGTCATTGACCTTGCTGGTGTGTCTTCTGCAAGGCTGTCCGCTTTCCTGGTCCTCCTTTTCCCATCTAAAATAGGCCTGCTTCCTAGAGCTAGTTTGATGTATTTGTGGAAGCAGTTTGTATGCTCTTGAGCACTGAACAGATGTAAGAGATGATGATGGAGAAAACAATATTCGTAGTGTTTACTGTGACCCTCCTCTGCACTATGCTCCTCTGAATGCTTTTGTGTATTGACTCATTTTATCTTCACAGCAGTCCTAGGAGGACTCTTAGTAGTCCCATTTTACGGATGGGGAAATCTGAAAAGGCACAGGCACAGAGGGGACTCCAGGCGGTGAGTAGAGGAGCTGGGAGGGAAGCTAAGGGAGCCTGCAGCCCTAACCACTGGACTGCCAGCCTGCCTTTGGTTACAGAGCATCCCTCCCAAATTCATGTCCACCTGGAACCTCAGAATGTGACCTTACTTGGAAATACGATCTGTACAGATGTAATTAGTTCCATTAAGATGAAGTCCTATGGGATTAGCATGGGCCCTACTCCAATAACTGGTATTCCTATCAGAAGAGAGCAGAGGAGACACACGCATACAGGGGGGGAAGGCCTGTGAAGATGGAGGTACAGACCGGAGGGCTGCACCTACAGGCTAAGGAACGCCCAGGGTCGCCCGCAACCACCAGAAGCCAGAAAAGGCAAGGAAGGATCCTCCCCTAGACCCTCCAGAGGGAGCATAGCCCTGCCGATGCCTTGATTTGGGACTTCTGGCCTCTGGGAGAGAGCACGTTTCTGTTGTTTTTTTTGTATTTTTGTGTGGTACGCGGGCCTCTCACTGTTGTGGCCTCTCCCGTTGCGGAGCACAGGCTCCAGATGCTCAGGCTCAGCGGCCATGGCTCACGGGCCCAGCCACTCCGCGGCATGTGGGATCTTCCGGGACCGGGGCACAAACCCGTGTCCCCTGCATCGGCAGGCGGACTCTCAACCACTGCGCCACCAGGGAAGCCCACGTTTCTGTTGTTTTAATCCACCTCCTATCCAGAGGAGAAAGAAGGCAGCCAGGTAGCCTGGCACTGCTGGCCAGCTTTCTGGGTCAGCCCCTCTCCAGGCCATGGAGAAGCTATGTTACCTTGCAGATGTCCTTCCCACCTTGAAGGTCCCCGGCACACAGCATGCTCGTGGTGAGCAGAGGCATCGTGGGGAAGCATGTTTCCCACTCGATCAGCTGGATGTTGACTTTCCAGAGCACTGTTTCCGTACTTCGCTTAGGAACTGACCCAAAGAAGCAGCAGATGGGGAGAGAACCCTGAGTTCAGCGTGGTCCCTTTGGAGGACCCACCCACATCATGTCTTTTCACCTCAACAACAAGGGAACTGCTCTGTGGCCCCGGCAATGACCCAGATTTGGACTGGGTGAGGAGGGGGTAGGAGGGGTGTCCGGGAGACTCTTGAGCCCACCCTCTCTGAATCAAGAGCTCCTAGGACTGGGTCTCTACTGGATTTCAGCCTCAGTGAACCATTTTCTCACCCTGCCAAGGGTGCCAGGTTCCAGCAAGGGTCCTAAAAAGGAGTTTCATTCAAATCCATGAGGATGTAAAGAGAACCCACGATGACAAGTTCTGTCCTGGGACCCACGGCACAAAAAGATGGGCTTGAAGCTTGTGTCGGGGTCCTTGAGGAGTTCACTGCCTGTGGGCTCTAGCTGAGCCCAACTCCTAGAATGTCCACTTCCGAAGATGGGGATGTGTTCCTCTTTGTATGTTGCTGACTCCCCGGAGCCTACACACTGCCTGCATCATAGAGGAGTTTCAAAGAAAATGAGGTAAATGAAGCATGGGGAACTCTAAGTTAAGAAGGTGGCCTTGTTTGCGAAGCTATTGAAAAGCTTCTAAGGGCAATTCCCAAGGAGGAATCTGACACAGCTCTGAGTTTTGGGACCATGTGGGAATCCACGTAGAGCCATTTGGGTGCCTCCTTGGAAGAGCAGTACTGAGTGGAATATGATCTTTCCTGCTCTGTTGATTATGGGGAAAGTCACATTCACCAAGAAGGAAGACAAAAGGACCCCATTTTGTGGGTTGGCTGGGCAAACTGGCAGGAGTAGGTTACAGGTTAAATCTAGAAGGACAAATTTACATTCGGTTTATCCCCTCCTCCTTGGCCTGGACCTATGGCTTTCAGAGATTTTAGCCACAGAGCCCTTTATCACGGGGCAGAACTGGCACCATCAGTTGGAACGGAGCTGCTCTGGCTGACATTGGCGTGGACTTCCCAGAGCCCAGCCCCTTTTCCCATTGGTATGTCCCTCCACATTCCTCCAAGCCACCCTGAAGCCTCTGGACACCTCTGCCTGGGTTTTCCCTGAGGCCCTGTTTAGGGTTCCTGTTTCACAACATGGACCTAAAACTTGCTACATGCGCTCAGGGAGGATGGCTCCCATGTGGACTGAGCAGAAGGGTCATCGTGGGACCTTAATTGAGAACCGGAAGCGCCCAGGTCCACGAGGCTGACCTCCTGAGGCCAGCAGAGCCTCCAGACTTTGCTTCTCATTGCAAACCTCAGCCAAGGTGCCACCCCACCTCCCCGTTGGGCTATAGTAACTTACTAGTAGTGCCCCATCCAGTCTCCCAGCAGTTTCTCCATCTCTCTGTGTCAGTGACCTCTGAAAGGCAGATAGGTACCTTCTTGACACCCAAGTTCGGTGGGGATTTGAGCAACAGCAAAGCGATGTCATTAATGTAGAACCAGCTGTCAAAATAATAGTGAGTAATTAGCTTGTCCACTTTTATCTTTGTCAGGTTTTCGGTGTCAAGATTTCCTTTACCATGTACGACCTCCAAGGTAGATCTTATTCCAAAACAAAAGAAAGAGAAAATAGGTAAGTGGTGGGAGGGTGAAAGGTGAGCCTTAGGAGAAAATACCTGCACTCGTGTGAGACTGTGATCCTGAGAGCATCTTCGGCTCTGCACCTGACACGGAGCCAGGGGGGAGGAGCCTGACCTGAGTGCCTAGCCTGCCCTCTGGCCAACCAGCTCTTGCCCTGACAGCTCTTTGCTTGGGCAAATTCACTTGTAAATTTCATCAACAAATGTCTGGGAAGCCATACTATGGCATGAGTAATTGAGGGACTTGATTTGCAAGAAAAGCTGACTGGCTATATCACAGACACCTTGGAAGTTTTGCAAAAATATTTTGTAGACTGGGACTCAGACAGCACCTTCTGCCATGCAGCCAGGCCTGGCACCCTGCCCTCAGGGCCTAATCCTTCTATGATTTCCCCAACTCCGTGATCTCTGTCAGCCCACTCTCTCCCTGAGTGAGAGCAAATGCTTAGGAAGGGACTCTCTAGGGGTTTGGACCAGGACTACACGCACCTGGCAAAATGCTGAGAAGCCCAAGGAACATTTGCTCTGCAATGTAGGTCCCACACAGCAAGCCATGCAACACCCTAGGAGGAGAACGGTTTCTTTCCACCTGCAAAGTGTGATATTTAACACAGGTGTCTACCTCCTGGTATTTTGTTTTATGGCTGATGAACGTGAATAATAGGCATGTCGGGGCAAATATTCTACCACACTGGTATGAAAAAAAATTCTATCTGCAACACTTACTTATTTTTGTTTTTGAAGCAATGGGCTGCAGTTAGAATCCACCACACACTGAGGATCGATCCTCCACAGAGATGATTCCCACCGTCAAGGATACGCGTCTGCCATGGGAAATCTACAACGTCTGCAGGCACCCCGCCTATGATATCCAAAGCTTCTGACTTCTCAGAACTGTTTATTCTTTGGCCACATTTCACTAAGAGCAGAAAGAAGGAAGAGGGAGGAGAGACCCAGCGCCCAACAGTCAAGGTTGGTTGGCTTGGAAGACACTTAAGTATGATGCCCCTTTCTCACCCCCCAGCACACAGACAGCAGTGACTCAGCCAGTTTACTACCAGGTGGGAGATCCGTCAAACAAAAACAATACCCTGCACACCTACCAAGGGCACCACAATTATGAGATTGTGCTTTTGGGTGCCTTCACCGTAGCTGTGCTTCTTGGAAGGGTCTCCTGGAAGGGTCTCCGTCTGAGGGCCTGTGAGGAAGGGCACACAGCCACAAGCCCTGGGGCCGGATCTTGCTCTTGCACCCTAGTAGGGAAGCCCAAGGGAAATTGACCAGCCCCTCCTTTCCCAACTGATTCCTGCATTTTCTGTTGTGATTTCTGCACACCACCGTGTTTCACCCAATTTTAATTCTAAAGATCATCCCAGTTGCACCTTGAGAGAAATTTAAATTTTGGCATTTCCTATGTGATAGGATTGTTTTGACAGCTTCTAGTGGGTTTCCAACATCATTTGAGTAATGGGAAACAATAAACATCATAAAATCTAAAATGTTGACTGCTTACTACTTGCCAGGCACCATTCTGTTCTAAATTAATTAATTCTCATAAAAACCTCACAAGATAGTTGAAATTATCATCATCTCATTTTAAAGGGTAGACAACAATGGCAAGTTTAAGGTTAGGACAACTGGCCAAGACCAACAGCTAATAAATGACTAAGCTGAGATTTGAACTTAGGCAGTCTGTCTCTGGAGTCTGTTCTCATAACCACTGGGCAAACTGCCTAAGTGTTAACCATACTTATACCTGGGGAGAAAAGTCCATGACATTCATGATATTTCACAGAAGAGTCTCATTTGAGAGGTATATCTATTCAAACCGTCTCTACGGCACACATGGTACCATCACCACACACCATATAGCCAACAACCTCATCACCACACAGCCTCGCCACCATGTATGTCCCCACCACACGTCACCATCAACCACACCACTCAGCACTACACGTTTTACCGCCGCCATTGCACATCGGCACCACCACCAGTCACCACCACTGCTGCCTCTCATCTCTGCCTTTGGGTTTCTCTCCTCCGACTTCCCGGGCCCTTCAGCTCCCCGGAAGTGCTCTGCTTCTTCCCATCTCGGGGCTCTTCCCTATGCTCCTGCCAGAAAGACAGGCTCCTCCCTCATCTGTCTTGCTCCTCTTTGCCTGTGTAACTCCTGTGTATCCCTCAAATCTTAGCTCCTTCCTTGCCTTTTAAGATTACACCAGCTACCCTCAGTATAACTTTCTTACTCAACACCCCACCTTCCCCTCAGGACACTAGCAACAGTGCTGAAGCATTTGTGAAACTGTTAAAGTATACTTCCCCCATTAAACTGTAATCTCTGTGAGGGATTCCCATTGCTCCTGTCAAGGAAGACCACACATTGTAAGGAACCTGCAGCCCAACCTCAGATGAAAAGGTTGAATTTTCAGAGCCAACAAGGGAATCTTGGACTTAATATACAAGAAAACAATGCTGGATCTCTGGAAAATTTTTTAAATACTTAATTAAAATAATAGTTTATGAATATTTAAACAGAATTACCAGTGATTAGTAGTCAAATTGGCTTAATAATTTAAAAGCCCCATATATTAATCTTTTGCTCCATAATGAGAGCCGCTTACTGAGCACCTACCATGAGTCAGCCTCTGTACTGTGTGTGAGAGACACTTAATAATGCCAGTAAACCTCTGAGCTGTGGTTTATTATCCCCATTTCACAGATGAAGAAACAGTCTTGGAGAGATCACGTGATTGCTGAAGACCATTCAGCTTACAAGAGACAGATGGGGATTTTTCGGGCAGGTATGTCCGGTTCTAAAGCCCAGTTGTTTATTCATCTTGCTCGTAGCTTGCATGGTATGTCTATATTTCGGCAAATCATCCACTCAATTCTTTGAGAATCTTATTTGGCTAAAATGTTGGTATGGGGTTTGGATGATTTCTCTCTAAGGCGAACATCAAACTGGCTGAGATATTACATCTAAAGCATTGATCACTGACTGTATCCCGGAAGGGAGGCTTTCTGAGTGAGGTGGGAAGAAGGTTTCACCTGGAGCTATCTGATTGGTGGGCAGTGGCAGCCTGCCACCCTCTGTGTAGAACAAGATGTTCAACACAAAAGAGAAAGCAAGATCTGTTGGCATTTTCTGCTGACGGTTCGGAGGTGTCGGAGCGGCAGTAGGATACCAGGCCAAGCTGGTACTAACAGATGCCTTTAAAACTTAAATGGGTAAAAAGTCGTCTGACACTTGGGGAAAAAAGTGCATAATCATGACACAAAACTGAGCAAGAAGTGATATTTAATAGATTACAGAATAGAGATTGAAAACTATCTGATCACATCTGAGTCCTGGGCATGAACCGTCAATACTGAACTCAACAAGGACTAGAAATAAAGTCTTGCAACTCCAGTCAAAAAAAATAATAGATCCCAAACTCGAGGTTGTGAGAGGAGCTTTGACTTGGAAGTTTTTCATATGAAAATATCAACCACAAGATGCTGATGAGATGACCTGACCGATAAGCACTCCACTTCCTGGACGGTAGCATTTGACGGTCGTTGGTCTGGGGCCTCGAGGTGTAAGAATAGCATTAACAAATGGAGCATGTTCAGAGGTGAGTAACTAGCATGTTGGGAAGCCTCATTATAGGGAACATAAAAGGACGGGGCTTCAGACTCCTGCAGGGTTTTCTTAAAGACGTGGTATCAGACTTGCTCAGATCCAGTGTCAGTGGGTGAAAACCATATGTTGGCATGAAAAGATCTTACAGTATAAAAATTCTGCCATATTGTTACATTACACTTTGTTGGACATTACACAGAACTGAGGGTGACCTGGACAATCTGGGGCCTGTGGTTAATTTAGGGGAGTCCCTGGGAGCCCGGGGAATTTGTATATTTTTCAATATAAAAATGCACTTCATAGAGTTCTCTATAGTGGAATAGGCTACCTCTAGGTTCTTCAATTTTCTCACCTTAAAATGAGGGGACTCAATAAAATCATCTCTAAGGTTTTTCCCAGTTCTAAAATACTCTACTTTTACAGTTTAAAATGACGAGGGGGAAACATTTTTACTTAAATTACATTAATATAAAACATAAGGGGCTTCCCTGGTGGCGCAGTGGTTGGGAGTCCGCCTGCCGATGCAAGGGATGCGGGTTCGTGCCCCAGTCCGGGAGGATCCCACATGCCGCGGAGCGGCTGGGCCCGTGAGCCATGGCCGCTGAGCCTGCGCGTCCGGAGCCTGTGCTCCGCAACGGGAGAGTCCGCAACAGTGAGAGGCCCCCGTACCACAATAAATAAATAAATAAATAAATATTTTTCTTAAAATTCTTACATATAAACATTGAAGCAGACTTTAGCTTCCTTATTCTGAATTTTTCCTTAAGAGGTATGTGATTTTCAGTACAACAGTTTAAATGCTGTATTGATATTGATGTCAGGCTGCCAGTGGTCATGCAGACTGAAACGTGAATGTATTTACATGAAAAGTCTTATGCAAGTCCAAAAGTTCTTCTATATTTTTACATGCTCAATGGCTCAACTTTGTTGAAAATTAGAATTGGGGCTGGCCTGGAAAAATAAGAGACCCATGGTTGTGAATCTTAGGAGAGTTCCTGGGAGCCTAAGGGGTTTATATATATAGTCTGTAGATAAAAAACCAAATGAAGTCTTAGGTCCGCCAGCACTCCTGGTGAGGGAGTTCAGAAATCTTCCCTTGCAAATCCCACTGCAATGAAATCACTGCAGACTGTAGATTTTTGCCAAGTGATTGGTTGATCCAGACCCAGAGATGTGACCAAACAAATTAAGTTAGGGAGGTCTCATCTCAGCTTTTTAGTTGAGTGTCTTCTCTTTGCCTGCACCATCAGGGTGTCTCAGAAATTCTTTTTGCCCCAAAAGACCCTTTCAATATATTGGTCACCATGAGAAAAAGAGAAGCGTGATTGGAGAAACAACTCAAGTCTGCAGAAGGCACTGGTTTTAGCCTGGAAATTTCCTAGCTGGCAGGGTGCCTGGTGAAGAGGGAAGGAGTGAGATTTGGAGTCAGAAGTTCTGAGTCGGCTCCATTGGCTAGCTGTGTGACTTGGAGCCACTGATTTAACCTCTCTGAGCCTCAATGTCCTCATCTTTAATACAAAGATAAGTATTAACACAGTCTAATGCCTATTTTTTCATGTCACATTGATTTAGAGGGATGACATTTGGTTTCATTCTAGTTTGGACCAAGGAGAGAGAAGTCTGAGGTTTGCCCAAGACTTTTGGTTCAATCTGGGGTCATCTCTGGGCAACATTTCAGTGGGAGGATGTACCTGCTGGTCGTCTTCCTGCATCAGTGGCCATTCCTTCTCATACTTTTCTGCCAAATCCACCTCTTCTTCCAAACCTCACGGCTTAATCCTCAGACCACTTCTTTCTCTATGCACTTTGGCTAGAGTATCTCATCCTAGCCAGGCTTCAAATATCATCTTTATACAGATGCTTTCACGTTTACCCTCTCAGGCCTCTCCACTGAGCTGCCAACCCATTAACCAACTGCGCTACTCAGTATCTCACAAGAACGTCTAAGAGGTGCCTCAAACTTGACGTGGCCCAAACTGAACTATGGAACCTGACCCCACTCCACATCTTTCTTGTAAGCCTTCCACAGTTCTGTGGATGGTACCACACCCGTCTGTTTGCTTAGGCAAGAGTTATCCTTGACGTCTCCTCTTTCCCTCACTCCCCACGAGCAGTGCATCGGTCAGTCCCATCAACTTTACCAAACAATGTCCTTCACCAGCCATCCTCTCCATCCCCCCTGCTATAAACGCATCCAGGCCGTCATCCTGTCCTGCCCACTAACTTGTCCCCCTCCTTCCACTCTTGCATCCCCACTCCTACACAGTCTATCCTCTGAAGCAGCCAGAATGTTTTCTCAAGCACCTCTCATTTCTCACTCTCTGAAGGCTTCCCACTGTGACCAGAATAAAATCCAAGGTCCTCACTGGGCCTTTACGAGCCCGTCTTTCTCCAGTGGCCCCTTTCCATTCACTCTGCCCCAACTTTACTGGCCTCTCTGCCTCTAAAACATACCCCGCTCACTCAGTCTCAGGGCCTTTGCACTTGCTGTCACTTCTGCTTGGAAATACGTCTCCTTCTCATCAGATGGGTCTCAGCCCAAGTCTTGTCATCTCAGGAAGGCTTTCCATGACCACCTCTTAGAATAGTCTCACCTCCCACCTGCAGACCTCCCATCGCATTAGCCTGTTTCATCTGCTTCATACCATTTAACAGGAGCTGGAATTAACTTATTTATTTATTCATTTCTATGTTCAATACTTCCCTCCCCTCACTAGATAGCAAAACTGCTTAAGGGTAGGAATTGAGTGTGTCATTCTCTGATATAAAACATCTCTCTCCTAAAACAGCTCCCAGCACGTGATAGAGGTTTGATATCTGTCAACCAGCAAACTGACAGCATAGCATGAGGCTCCATAAATTCTCCGGACTCAGGGAGATGAATCCATAGTGGGTATTAAGACGCTGCCGTCATTACAGTTATATTATTTGTGTTTTGCATTAGACCAGTTAGGCTCCACATGATCCTTCAGGATGTTTTCAAGGAGAACGCAGCCGAGAAATTCCTTTTTCTGATCACACAGGGCCTTAAAGCTGCAGGACGTGGCTAGGTAGCATCTCCAGATGGACAGCTAGTTACCCCTCTCAAATGGTTTACTTACATTGGCCCTTCACTCTGGAAAACTCTGGTACCTAACATAGATGTTAAATGCACAAACACACACATACAGACGCGGACACGGCTTCTCCACGTGTAACTTTAAAGTTGGGAGTGTGTGGGGAGCAATGGCCTGAAAGTCTGGTCCAGGGGCCCCAGCATCAGATTCACTGGAGGGGCTTTATTAAAAGTGCAGTTCCTCAGATCCCACCCAGTACTACACAATCAGCATCCTAGAACTTGACCTTTTGAACAAGCTCCCCAAGTGATTCTCCTGGCCGCCGAGGAGAGAGAGCCCCGGAGAGGCACAGACCCAAGAACACCATGAGAGACCTACGTGCCAGGCCGCCGTGTGACCAGGGCAGCAGCAGGGCGACTGGCAGCAGAAGCACCGCTCTTCCGTCCCTCCGTCCTGTCATTGGCCCTGGTCTTTACTCAAGTCGATGGAGGAGCTTCAGGTGAGACTGCGCATATCCAATTCAGAAAGACGAGTCAGGGCCTCACTCTCTGTGTCTGCAGTCTCACAGCCCAGCCTGATGCCCAGGTCACAATAGGGCACTGGGTGGAGCCAGCACAGTCCAGACAAGGCAGCCAGGAGGCATCCTGGACCAGGACCTGATGATTCCATGAGCCAACCCTTTGGGATGTGGAGGGCCGTGTGGAAGCAGGGGCAGAGGCAGTGGAGCGGGAGGACCTCACACCAGACGGGCTTCTGCAAATCAGGGCATCTCAGACTCACTAATGCATCAGGAAAAAAAAGAGTTGAAGGCCTTCCTCAGGAGAAGGGACCTGAGGCTGCTGGTCCAAACAAGTCAGGTGATACAGCGGAGCAAGCACAGACTCAGAATCCTACAGCAGAGAGCTCACATCACCAGTGGGACCTGAACTTTGAGCCTCAGATTACTCATCTGTAAAATGGGGATAGTCATAATACTTACATCAATATATTGTTGGATTAGTGAGATAGTGCATGTATCTAGGACCTGGCAAATACCAAGCCCACGATTTTAATTCTCTACCAATTTCATGTCTTCCAGAAAAGGAAGGCACATTGACCAGCCGTTTCTATGAATAAGACATAC